GTAAGATATATCTTCTTCTTCACCATGAACATCAACGACTGTTGCTGCATTTGGGAAAAACAGTTTAAGGACTGGTTGAAAACCCTGCTGTAAACGTCTTCTGCAGCTTCTGACATGTTTGATGCAGACTGTGACGTAAGAATGAAAGCTATTATCTGATTAATAAATATTAGTAAAATCATTTGCTTTTTTATGTTTAATGAATCTGAAAACACACCAGAATGAAGAAAAGAAGCTATTCCGGCATACATAAGACATGCATCAAAGCAAACAGCTGAAAAAACGATGAAGCCCACTGTATTGTCAATGTGTTCAACGAATAATATACGATTTGTATTCTTGATAAGCATTCATGGCACTAGTTTCTATGCTTAAACAATGTTTGAAACTCGCGAACAATTGTTTAAGATGATAACAAATCGTCACATAAAGAATTGCAAAGTTGCTTATAGGATATATCAGAAATAATACACACATTACTGATAACAATGGTCCAAATCTCGCAAAGAAACTGCGGTTAGAAGTAGAATTAAGAAAAGAATAATTAAGATTGATTTCCTGTGTTGAAAACTCATAACTGTTCTTCGAATATATGATATGCAATGAAAAACTGAAGGAAATCCAAACAAATATAAAAATATTAAATAAAAAACTAGTTTCAATTCTAAATGTTCTTAAAAGCTTCTGCAATCGTTTCACAATGCTTAGAATTTTATAATATTGTATTTGTAAAGCTATACGAAATGAAAACATTGTTAAAAAATTTCCTATGAAAGTCAGAGTAAGTGATGAATATGGTGCATTATTCAATACTAGCAGTACTCCACCAAAGAAAAATGTTAAAGGAATGGCATTTATTACAATAATAATTGCATTTAACAATGCTTTTGTTTTTTTATTACATGAGCATGAGTATAAAGGAAATATTAAAGTCATTTTAAACAAAATGAATATAAATTCATACACTTTTTTTCCATAACTACACTGTTTTCTTTGATGGTATCTTTTGTTCGAAATATGCATGTTTTTTAAGGAATTATTGACTAATGAAAATGTATGTCTTATAAAAATCTACAAAAAGAAGCAGCCAAGTTGATTGTTGATCTGATTCCGGTCTAAATGTGAAAATGATGCTCATTTTATGAGAACTCGAAAGGCACACAATAATGCTTAAAATCGAATACTCTGCAAGCTTATTTCATTTTCGACATTTTAAAGGCCTTGTTTATTTTAAAACGTACTTTAAAATAACCATTGTTAGAAAAATCAATAATCTATAAGCTTAATACAAAAGTATTTTTTAACAGCGCATGCTTTGAAGTTTTTGATCAATAGTACAAATGTACTGAAGAAAAACACTTATGATTTTATTTCAGGTTTTTTAATTTCACTTTAAAAAAGATTCTCATTTTAATCTTAAAATACTGTGCGTGTAAAGTTTTCAAACTAGGTTGAAATTTAGAGTTTTCAAATTAAAGGGAGTAATCAATCTAATGAAAAAATCTTTCAGCAAAATTGACTTTTTATGTTTACTTTGCAAAACATAACAGACACTTAAAAAGTAAAGCTGAATGTGTCGTTCCTTATAATATGTGATTTAAATAGAATAAAAAATACTAATTATAAGATGGTGAGTTAAATGTGTGACAACTTAATTTTCGTTTTTTTTTTCTTCTCTTAAATGCTTTAAGTATAAATATTAAACAAATATTAATATTTCAATTACTTTAATTTTTTGCAATGGGTTAATAGGATCAAAGAACTAACATTAACTTCATTGTTTTCATAAATTTTATTATTTTTCATTCTTTAATATATATATTTTTCACTCTATAATATATATATTTTTCCTTCTACATTTCTATATATTTACATTCTCCCCCTATATATATTCTCTATATATTTTCCATTCTACATTTCTACAATGTCCTCATATAAATAGCTCCCTTACATAATTGCGTCATTCTAGACTTCAACTTGATGTTCAATTTAAGACTTTTATTTAACAAATGACAATGTTTTATATAAAAACGTAAAATTTCACTTCATGTAAACTCATAGGGAGGAAGGAGACAAAATCAGGTTTTTTTTTAGGTTTTTCTTAAACTGAAATGAAATATTGGCTGAATGTAAACAATAATAAGATTATATATATTTAAAAAAACTTTTGGTGTATTCCTCCGCTTATGTTATGCTTACGAGGCGATGTGTAAACAGGCTTAATATTCGAGGAAGTATTACTATTGTAATTTGTGATTATATTCACGCTTAATTTTACCATTCATCTGAGTTTTATGTAATTATGTATTAATGTAATCAGAGTTTTATGTCCATTATAAACTTATATAAAGCAATTTTTATACAAACAATAATATAAACTTATATAAAGCGAGGAAGCAATATTATTTAACAAATTACTATAGGGCATTAGCCGGAGATTAATCTCCGTATTCGAAGCACACGTGGCAGAGCCTTACTCGGGTTGACTATATTTGAGGGTGCCCCCTTGATTCTCGCCAAGTTGTAATCGCGGTTGATCACCAAGCTGGGCGATGTTGAAACCCAATCGTGATTCTGATTGGTTTAGATTTAAGCGTTATTTTTAAATGTTCAACGGTATATGTGATTTCGGAGGTCCGTTAGTTCTAAGTTGGTACTGGCTGGTAAGGTTATTTTTTCTTCTGGTCAATAAGATCGAAGGTATGTGGGCTGTGATAAAAAGGGACTTTAGAAAAGAATGTCATCGCCAGTCCAGTACCACAGACGCAATTTTCGATTCATATTTCGCCGAATTTATGTGGCGATGGAGGTACACAGATTCTATTCATGATAAATTTAGATAGTATCTAACTGCTATTACAGAATTCGGTGCACCTAAATCTGAGGATATTCAAGCTTGACGAAGAAGTGAGTTGTTTTTTTCCTTTTCTATCTGTGATTACTCCATTAATTTTTGTTTCGATTCAAACTGCATTTTTTTGGGTTTATTAATTTTGCTCATATCGGGTTCATTGCAAATTTATAAAGTTTTGGCCGATGTTCTGTAGAAATTTTCCAATGTTTTATGGAAATATCATCATATTTTGGCAGCCATTCCTGTTACCACGGTGTTCCGCGCAAACAGGAATGGCGCCAAACATAAGTCGCCAATTTCACCCTCGAGTACATTTTTACCCCTACTAACTCAAATCATTGTTGATCTTATAGGATGCCGGACGCTCCCTATATGGTGCTTCATCTCCCCCCCCCCAGTAATTTAAATTTTAAACTGAAAACAATTTAAACGTTATGAAAAAAAACTTTAAAATATGACAAACAAATTAAAACATGTAATATTAATAAGTTGATGCTGAGTAATATTTCAAACGCAAAACCTATTGCAAGTAGTTGCCCAATTAACTACACTACTGTAAACTGACAAAATATTTTAGTTTCAATCAGACAAAAAGCAAATTATATGATAAAAACATATGTAACTGAAATTCGACAAATTAGATTAAGCAATTTAATTTTTTTGTCATACTGAATACTAATAAAAAAACAAATGTAAAATGAAATAATTATGTTGTCAATGATCAATAAACATTTTTGTCTGAATTGTTATAAAAAAATTAGGTGAAAACAGTAAAATTAAAAATAATTTACAATAGATCTCTGAATATTCACAAAACTTAGCTATGTACATTTTTCATTGATTTTTCTTTTCACGTCATTTTGTGTACCAATGATTTGCACTTTTATGCATTATTTAAGAAATATCTGAAGCAAATATGAACTGTTAATTAATATTTCTGGCTGCACGATTTTTTGAAAGTAAGTAAAAAACAATTAAAAGTAAGAAAGAACAATGATAAAATTAAAAATTATTTACAAAACCTCATTTATAAACAACATTTTTTATCTATTTCTTTTCCATATTATTCGTTTTCATTTAAATGTCTTGACTCTTCAGTGTTTCTTCGCCGCGCATTTTCTGTCGCGTATTGATAGTACTGCGATTATTTTCCCGGTAATTTTGTACTGCTAAATTAAGTTCAGCCCTATGTCGCTGTTGATATCTCCTAAGATATTCACGGTGATCCATTTCTTATAAAAGATAAGTATTTTAAAGTAAACTCTGTTCAATATATTCCACACATTCAATACAAAATATAAATCGCAACAAGATTTAGCTGGTAAGTTTAGTTGAAACATTTCTGCAGACAGCATTATTAAAAATTATTACCTTTACACACACATGCGTTTAAATTTTTATTGCTTGTTTTGTGCGTTACTAACCAGAAGTCTTCGGTGATTAGCTATGTGTTATCATTCCACTCTCTTCTTATATATAAAGATATACAACAAAATAAATAAATACAAAAAAACACGAAGAAAATTAAGAAAAACAATAAGTTTCATTTATTGCGCATAAGCTGCAAGTAAACAGAACTCATTAGATAAGTTCAAAATGAAGATAAAATAAAGGAAAATTACAGACAAATGAAAAAAGGGGGGAAAGGAAAATAATAATGGAAAAAATTAAGAAACAATTGGGGGGGGGAGGAAAGGATACAATTTTTAAAAAAAAAACGGGGAATCGTATGGACGGATATAACCGTGTGGGCTGATGGAAAGATTATATTGTAGGAATTAGCATATCGTTCTCACATTTGCGGGAACCAAAGATAACATCATAACAATCAGAATATAAAAAATAAAAGTTTTATTTTCCGGAAAAAGATACAGTCACAATGCTAAGTTACTAACTTAAAATAAATTAAAATACAAAAAAGTGTATAACACACTGAGTAGTAGTAGTAGTAGCTTGGTGATTTCACAGATATTTATATGCTGGGAAAAGTGCGCGATAAAAAAAATGTCATCTGTATCTTGCAGTCGGTTACAGCTAATTTCCGAGAAGAAAGAATATCAAGATGTGCTCGATGACAGGTTGCATGTTCGGTATTCCCTTAGATCTAGCGAACTCTACAGTAGTCCCCTTCCAGTCTGTAAGACGTTTAGGCTTGGAATGGCAGGACAAATCTAACTTTCCTTCCAGACCTTGTAGTTACTTCTGTCTTTACCATGAGAGACTGGTTGGTGGAATCTGCAACTTCATCAGATAGAAAATAGGCAGGTTTTAATCTGTCGATTGAAACACTAGATTTCTGTCCTTCAAGATCTAAAACAAAAAATTTGTTAGTTCGTGAAATTGCTTTAAATGGGCCTTTATAGGGCTGTTCCAAAGGACGTCGAACACTGTCTATTCTGACAAAAACTTGGCTACAAGTCTGTAGATCTTTACTGATGAAGATTGGACGGGTGACACCACGAGTATTCAGAGGAACAGGGCGCAAATCTCTAAGTTTTTCTAGAAGTTTCTGTGAAAAATCAGAATGAGATGTTGCAGGTTTAGAAAAAGAGTTGTGAAAAAATTCACCTGGAAGGCGTATCGAACAACCATACACCATTTCAACTGGTGTACAATCAATATCTTCCTTTAAACTTGAGTGAATGCCCAACAAAACTGTTGGTAAAACTTCCATCCAGCGCTCAGTTAGGTCGCATTTAATTGCATTTTCCAGGATTCTATGAAACCTTTCACTAGCTCCATTACACTTTGGATTATAAGCTACCGTCCTGGTTTTCTGTGTTCCCAAAAACTTAGTCAAAGAAGAAAAAAGTTCAGATTCAAACTGACGACCTTGATCAGTTGGGACAGTCTCTGGAACGCCGAATCTGGCTATCCAACCTGCAAAGAACGCTTCTGCAACTGTGTCAGCTGTCTGATTCTGCATCGGAAATGCCTCAGGCCATCTAGAAAAACGGTCAATACCTGTAAGTATGTACCTGTAATCTCTTGACGGTGGTAGAGGACCCACGATGTCTATATGAACGTGCAAAAATCTGGCACTAGGAAGCTCATATTCTCCTAGAGAGGATTTCGTGCGACGTCCAACTTTAGATTTTTAGCATGAGAAGCAAGTCTTGCACCAAAGCTTTATGTCTTTGGTCATGGATTTCTATACGAATCTCTTCATGATGAGGTCTAAAGTTACTCTTCCTCCGGGATGAGATAAACCATGAAAAGTCTGAAAAATACTCCAACGAAAGTCTTCAGGAATGTATGGTTTTATATCACCAGTAGAAACATGTGAGACATGGACAATGACCCGTGGAGATGAAATATGATTACTAGTTTTGAGAGGAAAATACTGCGAAGCATTTTTGGTGGAATAAGTAAAAACGTTACCTGGTTTAGAAGATCAAACACGGAACTTTACAAAGCATATAAAGAAACTGATGTCATTAAATTTATCAAAATTCAAAGGATTAAATGGGCAGGCCACATTATAAGAATGGAGGATAGCAGGGCAACCAAAAAAGTTTTCTGTGCCTGGCCAACAGGTACAAGAAAAAGAGGACGACCAAACCTAAGATTTTTAGACTGCCTTGAAAAGGACCTACAAATTTTAAAGATAATTAACTGGAGAACCTTGGATAAGGGAAGAATGTCTTGGCATAGGCTTGTTGAGAAGGCCAAGGCCCATTCTGGGCTGTCGTGCCAATGAGAAGAAGAAGAAGAAACATCACAAAAGATCATTTTTAATTTGGGAGATTCATAGGTTTTAGTGCGAGACCGGAATTAGACTCAAGCAAAGAGTGAAGCTCCGTGCCATTAACCTGTGCCTCCGCAATCTCTTAAAAATTGATATCACTTGAATTATTAAATCTAAAGGAAGTCTTATGTCTTAAATCTGTAGTGTACTGACTAATAAACTCTAAGTGTCGCATTTGTCTTGGAGAGCATTTCTCACTTTTTTGCTGAAATGCGTAAATGAGAGGCTTGTGATCAGTGTACACTAGAAAACATCGACCTTCAAGTATGTGCCGGAAATGTTTGATTGTTGAATAAATCGCAAGCAATTCCCTATCATAGGTGCTGTATTTTGCTCTGCATAACTAAGTTTGCGAGAATAGAAACTCAAAGGCTGTAATTCATTGCTTATTTTTTGTTGCAAAACTGCACCAATAGCAAACTCTGAAGAATCTACAGCAAGAGATAAATTTGCATTTGGTAAGGGATGTGCTAGCAAAACAACATTTGCAATCGCATCTTTAACTGCCTCCAAAGCAGAAATTTCCCTATCAGTCCAAACTAGAGGTGTTTTATCTTTTTCAGCTTTACCCTTAGTTAAATCGTGCAAACAAGATTGGATTTTAGCTGAATTTTTAAAAAATCTGTGATAGAAATTTACCATAGCTAAAAATCTGCGTAATTGTTCTACAAATTTAGGTAACGGAAAGTCTCTTAAAGCTTTTTCTTTTTCAGGTATAGGCTGAATACCATCCTTTGAAACTAAATATCCCAAAAAATTAACTGCATTAACACCAAAAACGCATTTTTCTAAGTTAATTATTAAATTGGAATCATTTAAACGTTTACGAACCTTGTCTAAATCCGATTTATGCTTTTCTTCGGTTTCAGAGAAAATGAAAATATCATCCAAATATGCTATACAGCATTCTATGTCTTTTAAAACATTATCAATAAAACGCTGAAATGTTTGTGCAGCATTTCTTAAACCGAAAGGCATAAATATATATTCAAAAAGTCCAATTGGTGTGATAACTGCTGTTTTAGGAACATCGGAAGTTTCAACTCTTATTTGGTTATATGCTTTTACTAAATCTAATTTAGAAAATACAGTTTTTCCATTTAAATTATGCGAAAAATCCTGAATATGAGGTATCGGATATCTATCAGGAACAGTTTTGTCATTCAAACGACGAAAATCACCACATATTCGAAATTCTCCATTTTTCTTTGGAACTAAATGTATCGGGCTAGCCCACGGGCTTCTAGATGGACGAACAATACATTGCTTTATTAAATCGGCAAATTCTTTACGAACAATTTTTAATTTCTCAGGCGACAAACGTCTTGCTTTAGAAAAAATCGGAGGTCCAAATGTTTCAATGCAATGTGTCACACCGTAGTAGTCTTGGCTCGGTGAATTTTGATTGAAACTTAAAATATTCGGATATTTGACCAACAAATCATGATAACGGTTCTCTGATGAGACCAAAGTTAAGCCAAATGATGGTCCTGGACATGTAATGCCCTTAGAAAAAACTGTTGTCAAACTGTCAAGTAATCGACGATTTTTAACATCAACCAACAGTCCGAAACGTTCCAAAAAATCCTCACCAATAATAGGGCTTGACCCATCAGTAATAATAAAATTGAAGTCGAACCTTCTACGCAAACCAAGATCTAGTTCTAAGAGCTTATTGCCCTAAGTTGAGATCTTAGAGCCGTTTGCAGCATACAAATTTAATTCCTGAATTATGTTGTTTCTAGTTAAATTTTTAGGAAAACAGCTAACTGCTGCGCCGCTGTCTACGAGAAATCTGAAACCAGATATTTTATCATATACTACGAAAAGGCGACGGTGAGACTGGCTAACATCTGCCGTCGCTACATCAGACGAGCCGTTTAGTTTTCCGAAAATTGGCATGGTTGGATGCACTTGTGTGCTTTATTACCAAAACGATTATGATACCAACATAATTTACCCGTACTTAGATTGTCAGGAGTACGACTACGTGAATTTGAATGTGTGTATCGACGATTGCGACTTCCATCATGATTACGTTGTCTAGAGGATCTAGATAATCTCTCAACGTTAGCGCTAAGAATCGAAATTTCTTCACGCAATGATTGAAAAGTTAAATTATCCTGAGAATTTATAACTTCAGTTACCGATTGGAAACAAGATATTTCGCATATCTTGTCGGCAATTAAAGCTAGTTCATTAATTGGATCTTTACACACGGACAAAATTTGCTGCACATGAACTGGCAAACGTTGTTGCCATAAAGTACGCAATATATCGCTGTTAAGCTTTTGGCAAGAGAGATTTTGCATCTCTAATAGAAGCTGTGACGGTCGTTTATCCCCCAACTGCAAAGCTTGCAGCAGCAATTTTAACTGAGCAGATTCTGATTGAGAAAAGGTTTCGATTATTTTAGATTTTAAACTCACATGCATTAGATTTGAGAGGGTTACGAATTATATCTCTAATGGAAGATAGAACCTTACTGTCCAAAGCCGAAACTACACAATGGTATTTAGTTTCATCAGTTGTTATTCCTGCTATTACAAATTGTGATTCCAACTGGTGTAACCAAAGCTCAGGCTCTGCTTCCCAAAAAACAGGTGCTTTAAAAGCAGGACGAGAAAGTTCTAAATTTTTAGTGTCCTTTTCCTCAACAGACATTATAAATGTCTACAATTACTATACATAAAATTATTCAAAAGAGAAAGAAAGATAATCTTAATGTCAATTATGCAAGACACAAATAAGTATTTATCAATTATTAAATTGCCAGATTAGCCCTACATTTACTTAAGTTAAAACACTTTACTTAATTAAAAAAGGTCAACAGGAGAATGACGAACTTCAATCCTTACAAAAGTCATTACAATCGGCCAAGAAAGAAAACCAAAATCTCACGTTATAATTTGAAATATCCATGAAAGTTGTTTTAACACACTACTTTAGTAGATAAAAATCATCCAATGACTGGAAACCACTGTATTTCATTGGGTTACTACTGTAATTCTTCGGTCCACCGTTGTAATTCACCGGGTCACCATTATGTAGGAACTAGCACAACGTTCTCACATTTGCGGGAACCAAAGATAACATCATAACAATCAGAATATAAAAAATAAAAGTTTTATTTCCCGAAAAAAGGTACAGTCACAAAGCTAAGTTACTAACTTAAAATAAATTAAAATACAAAAAAGTGTATAACACACTGAGTAGTAGTAGTAGTAGCTTGGTGATTTCACAGATATTTATATGCTGGAAAAAGTGCGCGATAACAAAAATGACATCTGTATCTTACAGTCGGTGACAGCTAATTTCCGAGAAGAAAGAATATCAAGATGTGCTCGATGGAAGGTTGCAGGTTCGGTATTCCCTTCGATCTAGCGAACTCTACAATATCTTTTATTTTCCGGTTTTTTTAAAAAAATTCTATCCTTTTTTTCCCCAATTGGTTGTTAATTATTTTTATTATTATTTTTCTTTTCTCCCCTTTTTTCCATTTGACTGTAATTTTCCTTTGTTTTATCTTCATTTTGAACATTTATATGTTATTTTGATGTGGCTATTCTAACTGTAACTTTATCTTTATTTTTCTTATTTGTCGGCGTTTCTTACGTCTTATGTTGTGTACTTTCAAATCATTATTAAGACTTACTTTGTGATTGTTTGTCATTTATTTATCTTTGCATTTACATTTCAATTTTTCTTATTGCTTTTTCGTATTTACCTTTCCATTATGGCGCATCGGAGCACTGTCAGTTTTTGGTTTCACCTCTGACAACAGAAAGGATCCTGTGTGTTAGCAGGCAGTGTGTCCCCTGATAAAGTACTGTCCTGCTAACACACATATCTTTAAAATCTTATGGTTTTTGTTTTCTGCAGGAGTTGTTCTTATGACTTTTTAAATTAAAGTCATTTATATATATTTACACTGCCGGATATGGTGGTGGACAAAATCAATCACGATCAAATTTTTAAATCAATTATAAAAGGATAAAGCATACAATGTATTTTCACTTTAAATTTAGAAAAATGATCTCCCAATAAATCCAAGGAAGTTGGAAAGTTTGATATATCTTTTGCAGTTTACCCTCTAATTGTCACATAATTTTGAAGAAAACAGTCATAAAAGTTCTTAATTTTTATTCAAGAAAATTACATAAGACTCAGGTATGTGT